AAAGCTTATGCTCTAATAAATTTGTTAGTCTCTAAGGTGCCACAAGTACTCCTGTTCTTCATTTTATTTTTGTCCATTTTTGATACGTGCTGATTGGTTTGGTTTGGTTTCGCAAAACAACCTTCTTTTGTTTGAGAAATTCAGCCGTTCTCACGCTGACATTTTGCCCCAGAAAAGGAAATGCGCGCGTGACCATGTTGAACCGTTCAGCCAGAGTCGCTCTCAATGAGGAGAAAAGAGGTTTTGCAGGGAGCTCTCCTGCATCACACAACTTCCCCCTGCCCAACCAGGCTAATGAAATGGAGGGGTGATGGAAATGGGTGTGGCTGCATCTCCTGCAGCCTAGGGAAGCCTGGAGAATCAGCCCCAGGGTTAGAGCACTTGCCTAGGGCTTGAGAGCTGGGTTCAAGTCCCTTCTCTGCCACAGACTTTTTGTGTGGCCTTAGGCAACTCGCTTAGTCTCTCAGTGCCTCAGTTCCCCATCTGTAAATGGAGATAACAGTACAACCCTTAGCGTTTACTGTGCTCAGATACTACTAGAGTGATGGGAGCCAGATGAGTATCTTAAGTATAGCCAGAGGCCTGTGCTCCTCCCTGGGGGCCGAGGGGGAGCATATTGCTCTAGTTGCAGGCAAAGCCAAGGTGGGTGCCTGCAGCCGCTGTGAAGGGAGCTTGGAGGTCAGCAAGGGGTAGGAATGTGGGTGGGAACTTGGGAAAGTCACTTAGCCCTACTAGACTCCAGTTGATATTGCCATCATATCTACTTCACAGTGAGGATCCATAATGTGCTTAAAATCCCCCCTGCTGAACTGTGTAATCTAGTGAAAGTGTGACAAGCTGCATGTAAGAGGTCTGCTGGATTCCAGGCCCAGCTGGACCTTCAAACAAAAAGCCAACACGCATATTGTGTGGGAACATGAACCGTCCTCAGCTGGACAAAAGCAAGGAGAGCTGGAGGTAAGCCGGATTCTAGCTTAGCTCTGCTGTATTTAAATAATGCAGCCATTGACTAATTTTCTGTGCAACGACTGCCGGGGACACCCCAGAGGGAGTTAATGCATGTGAGCCAATTTCATCCCAGCAGGGGTGACTGTGACCCCATGTTTCTGCCTTAGTTCAGAATATCCTGGCTTTCCTAGATGAGTCGATGCACTCTATTTCAGCTACTTTTATAGCTCCCTTGACCCTAATGTCTGCCTTACACGCTATTAAGTATGTTTCCACACAACGGCCTGGGGGTTAGGAAAGCACTGTATCCCAGGTTACAGGTAGGACACTGAGACACAGAGAGGCTAAGTAACTTGCCTAAGGTCTCACACAAAGTCAGTGGCAGAGCAGGGACTTGAAAGCTCATGTCCCAAGTACTAGAATCCTGTCCTAACTGCTGGACCATCCTTTCTCGTCAGAGAACTCCCTTTATAATTCCCCCGTGGGATTCATAGGAGGTTGGTGTCCACCTCCAGCTGGAGATCTGCCCCCCTTTACAGCATTGATATACTTTGTCCTTGTGGCTTGTACAGTGTGAATGGTTCTGCCACGCAGGGGATTCTGCTTTGTGTCAGGCTGGAGTTCACTTCACCAGCATCTTGCTACTGGGGAGACTTCCAAAGGAACAGGTGGGAGCTAGGGACCCATCTCCCCCTGACTTGCAGTAGGAGCTGGGCTGCTTTGAAAGTCCTCGCCCTTGTTTATTATTTATATGTACAGTAACTCCTCACTTAAAGTCGTCCCAGTTAATGTTTCGTTGTCACGTTGCTGATCAATTAGGGAACATGCTCGTTTAAAGATGTGCAATGCTCCCTTCTAACGTCCTTTGGCAGCCACCTGCTTTGTCTACTGCTTGCAGGGAGAGCAGCCGTTGCAGTGAGCTGGTGGGGGCTTGCAACCAGGGTGGACCGGCAGCCCCC